GAGTGGCTGGGACTACAGGCGCCTGCCACAACGCCTGGGTATTTTCTAAAGATGGGGGAGGGGTGTCTCACTCTTGCTCAGGCTGGTCTCCAACTTGTGAGCAAGTGATCCACCTACCTCAGCCTCCCAGAGTGCTGGAATTACAGGTGTTGAGCCGCCACACCATGCCTGAAATAATACTTCTACACTCTGCAGTTTCAGAAGTATTAAGGCATTAAGTTTACCAAGTCATGGGTCAATTTACGTAGAGCAACCTGAAAGGGACTGAAAAACAAACTATCTCGGTGCTAATTTCCTAAGACATTTGTATGCAAAGGGAGATACCTTTGCTTTTTGCACTAAACACTAAGCCAAGTATTTGTTGAGCTAGAAATAGGGGGTTGGGCTGGGTGGCTCACGCCTATAATCCTAGCACTCTGGGAGGCCAAATCTGGTGTACTGGCTGAGCTTCCAGTTTCCAGACCAGCCTGAGCAAGAGAGAGACCCTGACTCTACTAAAAATGAAAAACTGAGGCAAGAATATCGCCTCAGCCCGAGAGTTTGAGGTTGCTGGGAGATAATGACACCCACAGCACTCTACCAAGGGCCACAAAGTGAGACTCTGTCTTAAAACAAAACAAAACAAACAAACAAACAAACAAAAAACCCTATCTTCTAATAACCGCAACTAACTTAAGGCAGACATTACTGTGCGCTGTATGCGCCGCAGAATCCTTCCAACCTCATAGGTGGCATGTCATGCCAAGTCTACAGATGTGGAGAAAAAGCAGTGAGATAAAGAAACCTCGACAGTGGTGACACCAGATTCGAACGCACGTAGGCTGGCACCAAAGCTCTCTCAAAGCGGTTGCTACCGACTAAGGCAGTCCAGACAAACTGCCATTTAGAAAGCTGGGAAGCTAACACAAAACCCAGTGTCACGAACCGCAGGACAAAGCTAGACTCGGTAGGAATGTGGAAGACTAGGTCTCTGAACAACAAATAAACTTCATTCCTGGGCCTTCCTCTCGCTATCTGCTCAGGGCGAAAACGAGGACCACTGGCAGTTTCGGGCGATGTCCCCAGGTTTTACGCTTTTGGCAAAATCCGCCCTTTCTTGAAAACCTAGCGGCTGTGGAGCGGGAAACCGTAAGCTCAGGGAAGGAAGAGGGCCGAGAGGCAGGCGGAGGACAGACCACCGAGAGCGCCGAGCGAGAGCGCCGAGCGCCCACCTCCAGGAGGCGGCCGGGCTCGCACCCGCAGCCTCCCACCCGCTGCGCCGCAGGGGTTCGAAGCCCCGACGCTGCGGCTGCCGCCGCCCCACCTCGGCCAGTCGGGTCGGGGGACTCCCGCCCACCCCGACTCTCGCCACAGGCCCCGAGCCGGTTCCTCTGGCTCCGGGCTCGGGGAGCCCTACCCACGCCCTCCCCTCACCGCCCCCCAGGGCCGCCCCCCGCAGCCAGGCTCCGTGCTCCCCTCCCCCTCCCCGCCGCCCGCGCGCTCCTGGCAGCCGGGGCTCCGCGCGCCCAGCTCACACTCACTCGCCCGCTTACGTGCTATCACACTCACCGGGACTTGCAGCGGCCTGTCGCTGGGTGCGACTGTCATGTCGGAATCCGAGTCGGAAAGCTGCCCATCTTCCATGTCTCCGGCTTCCAGCGCCATCTTCGCGCGGCACGGCGCGGCGGGGCAGGAGAGCACTTCCGGCGGCGCGGCGGGAAGGCCGGGCGGGCGGCTGCTCTGGCGCCCCCGCGCGGAGGCGGGCCCGCCACGCAGCCTGCGCGCGCCGGGATGGCGGGACTGGGCCTGGACGCAGTCACCTGTGCCAAAATTCCAACTGTCCCGGGAAAATGAATCTCCTGTAACCGCAACACCCTTCTCCCAAACTTTGTTTTCGCATAAACACAGTAAGTGCACGCGCCCCAGTCGTCTGTGAGCCTTCCCTCGGCTTCACAGGCGCCCTTCGTTCTCTCCAGGTGAAAGGCGTTTTGCAGCTGCTATTCACTGGACTTGGAAGGCGGCTTCCCCACTCCCAACCCCTGTCTTTTTTTTTTTTTTTAACATTTATTTTTTTTTATTTTGCAGCTTTTGGCCAGGGCGGGGTTCGAACCTGCCACCTCTCTTACGAGGGGCCGGTGCCTCACTCCTTTGAGCCACAGGCGCCGACCCCAACCCCTGCCTTTTTTTTTTTTTTTTTTTTTTAGACCCCCAAGCTATCCGCCTGGATAGAGTGCTGTGGCATCACAGCTCACAGCCACCTCCAACTCCCAGGGTTGAGTGAGTCTCCTACCTCAGCCTCCCAAGTAGCTGGGAGGACAGGCGCCCGCCATAACGCCTGGCTGTTTTTTGGTTGCAGCTACCATTGTTTGGGGCCAGGCTGGATTTGAACCTGCCACCTTAGGTGTACGTGGCTGATGCCTTAGCCACTTGAGCCACAGGCCGGGAGCCCCAACCCCTGTCTTTACAAAGGTTCTATCACATTACTCAAGTTTCTTTTTCTATCTTTACTTTTTTTGTTTTTTAGAAGAGTCTCTGTCGCCTTGGGGAGGATGTGGTGGTGTCATAGCTCACAGCAATGTCAAATGGTTGTGCTCAAGAGATCCTCTTGCCTCAGCCTCAGGAGTAAGTAGCTGTGACTAAAGGTGTACACCACCAGGCCTGGCTGGTTTTTGTATTTTTACTAAAGAGGAAGTCTTGCTTTTGCTCAGGCTGGTCTCCAACTCTTGAAGTCAAGTGATCCTGCCCCAGTCTGTGAGAGTGCTGGAATTACAGGCATGAGCCACTATAGATGGCCTAATAAATATTTTTTTAGAAATGCGGTCTCACTATGTTATCCAGGCTGATCTTGACCTCCTGGCCTCAAGGATCCTCCCCCTCTTGACTTCCCAGAATATTGGAATTGTAGGTATGAATCACTGTGCCTGGTTTCTTACTATTGAATTATAAGCATTTCTTATATATTCTGGAAAGAAATCCTTTATCAGATATACTACATGTGTATCTTTTCTTTTCTTTCTTTTTATTTTTTTTGTTGAAACAGAGTCCCACTCTATGCCCTGAGCAGAGTGTGATGGCATCATAGCTCACTACAACCTCAGACTTGGGCTGTGGGCATCCCCCTGCCTCAGTCTCTAGGAGCCACTGGGATTACTGCACTCACCACATCGCCCAGCTGGGCTTTTCATTTTTTTAAGGACTGGCGTCTCACTCTCACTCAGGCAAGTCTTGAACTCCTGACCTCAAGCAATTCTCCCTCCTTAACCTCCCATAGTGTTGGAATTACAGGTTTGAGCCACAGCGCCCAGCTGTGTATCTTTTATATGTGTATATATATTTTTGCCCTGTCTCTGGTTCATTGTGATAATATGAGATATCTGTATAGATATATATATAGAGAGAGAGAGACCATAAACTTTGTGTGGAATTTAAAATGGTCTCTATACATTATTGTGATAATATGATATATATATCATAAAACACACATATACATGTATGTGTTTTTGCCCATAGTTCCTGGTTCATAACTCCCAGGCCTCTTGTTATTTCCTAAGTGACTAAAAATTAGGCTCATCTTTTGTTAAAATATTTGGCCTTTAGTCCTTGGTTCCTGAAACAGCTTCAGAACACCGTGGGGAAAGACAGCCTTTTGTTATGGTGTAGCCTTTAGGCCTCAGAAAACAGAATCTCTCTCTCTGGCCTTCTCCTGACCTCCTTTTACTCCCCAGGCAGCCTGTAAAAACTAAAAATATACTCTGGTTTCCTCTCATTTTTCCCTCTTGGAGTGGACTGTAGAGAAAGTCTCTGATCTACCTTTTAGAGTGCTAGGTCGCAGTGATAGGTTTTAGGTAAACATAAGTAAGTGGTCCCCTGAGTTCTATGAGCCCCATTTTCAAAAGAGGTCCTGCCTCATACCTGAGAGGAAGGAATACTGCACAGGAGGGCCAAGAAGAATCTAGACAGATAGGCCTTGCTGGGTTTCCCCGCTGGTCTGTTAGTCCTAAACACATCCTTTTTGTCCAATCATATTTGTACATGGTTGTCCCTGCATCAGTCATGCCTATCCAATGAAGTCCCATGAAAGTTCCAAAAGGGGCTCGGCGCCTGTAGCTCAGCGGCTAGGGTGCCAGCCACATGTACCGCAGCTGGGGGCTTCGAATCCGGCCCAGGCCTGCCAAACAACAATGGCAACTACAGCCAGAAAATAGCCGGATGTTGTGTTGGTGTCTAAGATCTCAGCTACTTGGGAGGCTGAGGCACGAGAATCGCTTGAGCCCAGGACTTTGAGGTTGCTGTGAGCTGTGATGCCACAACACTCTACTGAGGGCGACATAGTGACACTCTGTCTCAAAAAAAAAA